GGAGAAGGCGAAGGAGAAGGCGAAGGCGAAGGCGAAGAAGAAGGCGAAGGAGAAGGCGAAAGAGAAGGCGAAGGAGAAGGCAAAGAAAAGGAGAAGGCAAAGGAGAAGGGTAAGGAGAAGGGGAAGAAGAAGGGGAAGGAGAGGCAAGGGGAACAGGAAGAGGAAGGAGAAGGGGAAGGCGAAGGGGAAGGTGAAGGCGAAGGAGAAGGCAAAGGAGAAGGCGAAGGCGAAGGAGAAGTTGAAGGAGAAGAAGGCGAAGGAGAAGGGGAAGGAGAAGGGGAATGCCAAGGCGAAGGAGAAGGCGAAAGAGAAGGCGAAGGAGAAGGGGAAGGGGAAGGGGAAAGGAAAGGAGAAGGCGTAGGAGGAGGCGAAGGATAAGGCCAAGGAGAACGGGAAGAAGAAGGCAAAGGGGAAGGCGAAGGAGAAGGCGAAAGAGAAGGGTATGGAGAAGGGGAAGGAGAAGGGGAAGGAGAAAACATGGAAATTGAAAAGCAAACGGTAACCAAACTACAAAGGGAAGGAGAAGGGTAAAGAGAATGGAAAACAGAAGGCGAAGGAGTAGGAGAAGGAGAAGGAGAAGGCGAACCAGAAGGCGAAGGAGAAGGGGAAGAAGATGGACAAGGAGAGGGAGAAGGAGAAGGAGAAGGCGAACCAGAAGGCGAAGGAGAAGGGGAAGAAGATGGACAAGGAGAGGGAGAAGGAGAATGAGAAGAAGGAAAAGGAGAGGAGAAGGAGAAGGAGAAGGTGAAGGTGTGTTCGAAGGAAAAGGCAAAGGAGAAGAGGAAAGAGAAGGAAAATAGAAGGATAAGGAGAAGGAGAAGGAGAAGGAGAAGGAGAAGCGGACAAAGACAAGCAGAAACAACAAAGAGAGAGAGAGAGAGAGAGAGAGAGAGAGAGAGAGAGAGAGAGAGAGAGAGAGAGAGGAGAGAGAGAGAGAGAGAGAGAGAGAGAGAAAGACTAGGGGTGGGGGGGGTTGGGGAGGGACTAGGGGTGTGTGTTCTGAAGGTTTTGTATTGTCGTTGCTCGACCCCGTTTGCTAGTCTTCATGCTAGACATGCTCTGGCCCAGAATATGCATGTTTGTACCGAACCACACTTATCAATACAAAGGACCGTTAGAGAAATAGATAGATAGATAGATAGATAGATAGATAGATAGATAGATAGATAGATAGAGAGAGAGAGAGAGAGAGAGAGAGAGAGAGAGAGAGAGAGAGAGAGAGAGAGAGTGAGAGAGAGAGGGAGTGAGGAGGAGGAGGAGGAGGAGGAGGGGAAGTAGAGGGAGAAGAAGAAGTTGAGGGAGACGGGGACGGAAAAGCGGAACGCGAAAGCGAAGGCGAAGGAGAAGGCAAAGGAGATGGCAAAAGAGAAGGCGAGGGAGAAGGGGAAGGAGAAGGAGAAGGGGAAGGAGAAGGGGAAGGAGAAGGGGAAGGAGAAGGGGAACGAGAAGGGGAATGAGAAGGGGAGGAGAAGGGGAAGGAGAATGGGAAGGAGAAGGCAAAGGAGAAGGGGAATAAGAAGGGGAAAGAGAAGATATGAGAAGGAAGGGGAAGGGGAAGGCAAAGGGGAAGGAGAAAGATAAGGCGAAGGAGAAGGCGAACGAGAAGGCAAAGGTGAAGGAGGAAGAGAAGAAGGAGGAGAAGGAGAAGGAGAAGGTGAAGGAGGAGAAGGAGAAGGAGAAGGTGAAGGAGGAGAAGGAGAAGGAGAAGGAGAAGGAGATGGAGAAGAAGAAGGAGAACGAGAAGGAGAAGGAGCAGGAGAAGGAGAAGGAGAAGGGGAAGGAGAAGGGGAAGGAGAAGGAAGGACTCTAATACTCAACTGCGTATGGTTTGGATTGGACACTCATTTGAGCGTTGCGTGAATCCATTTGTGGAAGTGAGGGGTGAGGAGCGGAAACGATGGTGAATTAAGTTTTCTTCACAATATGTTATGAAGGCGAAGGATAGAGGAGAGTGTATGAAAGATCCACCTCATATATCTTCACCAAATATTGATTAGCATTGAAAGACTTGCTATGAGTAAGGGCTGCTGTGCCTTATATATGATTTTTCTCACCGCTTAGCACCGCTTTGCAAGTGCAACGGTATACATTTCCAGTTTGTGTGTGTTGAGCGTAGGGAACTGCCACTCATTAGAAGCAGACAGTAGCGTCAATACGCCAAGAGCTGACACGGATTTTTTGTCGGTGTTACACGCAAGTGTGTGTGTGTGTGTGTGTGTGTGTGTGTGTGTGTGTGTGTGTGTGTGTGTGTGTGTGTGTGTGTGTGTGTATGTGTGTGTGTGTGTGTGTGTGTGTGTCTGTGTGTGTGTGTGTGTGTGTGTGTGTGTGTGTGTGTGTGTGTGTGTGTGTGTATGTGTGTATGTGTGTGTGTGTGTGTGTGTGTGTGTGTGTGTGTGTGTGGTGTGTGTGTGTGTGTGTGTGTGTGTGTGTGTGTGTGTGTGTGTGGTGTGTGTGTATGTGTGTGTGTGTCTATGTGTCTGTGTGTGTGTGTGTCTCTGTGTGTACATTCTAATCGTAGGGGCACACAAGCTAGTTGCTGAAGGGAGCCACGTGTGCCCAAAAGGAATGAATTTTGGACACATCTGGGTTTCCAAATACCAACTGCCCTGCGTTTTTCAGTTTTGGACAACTCTGGTTTGTGCACCCTTCTGAAATCGCCAGACGCAACTAGACACACCTCGCTGTTTTGTTTATACTGACCTACTTTGCATCGATAGAGAACGATAGACAGCGCAAGCCTTCTGGGCTTTGATTTTTAGCCTTCGCTTGGCTCTAAAATGTGTATGGTTAAGCACGAAAACCTTTTGAGGTTCATGCCAACCGCAACTTTTAGACTACCAATCTTGTTCCCGCCAAGGTTCCTGTAATTTTCCAGTTCGCTCGAGTACAGTAGGAGAGAACACACACCAGCAGTCTGGTGACGTACAGTAAGCAGGTCGGTGGCATTGTGCGTCACCAAGTACACCACGCTATCAATGCGTTGGCCCGGTCGTTCCCTGATTGGCAGGCACATGGCAAATGTGACGAATACAGCATAGAAATCGTTGGAGCGCACAATAACGTTTGTCTGTGTGGTGGCTTGAAGAGAGCCACGTGTGCATCAGTTGAATAAATTTCTTTTCACCCTTCAGCACTTTCGAGTTTCCAGATTCAGAACTACCCTGTAGTTGTGAAACCACAGGTCTGCGCACCTTTTCTCAAACGCCTGACGCATCCAACAGGAGTTTTGTTTTAACTGACGCACTCTTCTTTGACAGAAAGCGCAAGCAGCTAAAATCTGACGTTAGCCATTGCAACCCTTAGCGTGTGTGGTTACACACAATGATTTTTTTTTTTTAACATTCACTCCAGCCAAGTTTCACGCCAAACCTTCCCTGCCAAAAATTCCATGACCACCTACATGGCAGGTAACAGAAACGACAAGCAGCATTCGCTGTCAGGTTGTATGTGAATCAGCAGTTCATTCGACTCGACATTCAACCGGCAGAATGATTCAGCGGTTCAGAATCATCGATATCTAACGGCTCAGATTTGGTCTCGGATTTATATTAGCAGGAAACCGTTTAGCAGATCGATTTTTGAATCGCCACCTCAGCAGCCATATCAATTTCGTACGCTCTAGATTTCAACTGTCTTCGTCAACCGACTTTCTCCAAACGCAATAATGTACACTGTGGTTTTCTGGTTGGGGACTTGACGTGGCGGACAACAGTAGCCAAATTCCCCTCGTGACCTCGTCTCCTCATCACTCCGAAATTCTGTGGTGGGGTGAGTGATTGCCTCCCTGACCTGCAAGTTCACGCCAGTTTCGAAACCGCCGTAACCTGATTTGCGTTTCAGGCGAACGTCGCAACTGTCAAATCAGGTTTAAGCGAATCCAGTTACCATCTGGGGTCGCGCAACTTTTGCCGCAACCGCAACCCCGGTTCTCACGCCCTGAGCTGCAAAACCACAGTAGCAACAGCCATCCCTGCAGCGCAGAATCACGAACCTCCACCCCCATCCCACCAGTTTGTCGCTGCCACCCTAGACCTAGCTAAAGCAGGGCGAAGTAGTACTTACTACAAGTTCCTCGGATTGCCTCGTCGTCAGGGTACCAGACGCATCGCCTAGCCTAGGAGTGCTTGTGGTTGCTGCGTTTGAAGCCCTAAATAGAGATAAGAGGAAGTTGCGGGACTATTTACCGATATTTGAAGACATCGCCAACTAGTATTACTGCGATAGTAGGTCCCGTCACGTCAATCCGATGATTTCCGATCATCGGATTTCCGTCGCTTGATTTTCATGCCGCTTCCGTGACGCGCAAATATCGCTACCATTCGCCGAAGCAGAAGCAATGGGTTGTCTCGTGATGGGACAAGTACTCGTTGTTCCGCGGCGCCGTGTTGCCGCGCATTACTAATGCCTACCTGCGGCGCGCAGGTCCGATTTAGGGTTTGCTACTACGTTGCGTCAGTGCTCGACGCGTTTTCTCCGGCACTGGGTCGGTTTTGGCGACCCCAGACGGCTTTTGTAAGCCCAGCGAACGTAGAGCAGCGAAGAACGAGGCGTCAGCAGCGCAGCGCGCGGGCTCGCGTTCCTAGTACTATCCCCCCCACCCCGATCACCCTTTTCCCCGTCCCAATCTCCCCCGCCGCCCCTCATTTCCAACTTCTCATTCCGCCCCCACCAAATCCGCCTCTTTCGTTTGGTATGCCCGCCTGATTCCGGCGCCCCTTCATTCCGTTACCTTGCTCTGCCATCCCCTTTCTCTTTACACACCCCCAGGCATTGGCGCCGCCCCGTCTCGCGCCTCCGTGGCGTTGCAGTGGCGCGATGGCGCAGGGCAGGCAGGCACGGCACGGAACGGCACGACGCTGGGCAGGCAGGCGGCACGGCATGGCATGGCACGGCACGGCACGGCACACGGCACGGCATGCGGACAGCAAGATGCGGATTGCGGATGTCCAGCACGCGCGGCGTACGGGATGGCGATGGTGGCAGCGGAGGGCGCCCCGGCATCATGCCGAGTGCGCATCAGATGCCATCGCGCAGCGGCATGTGCCATCACGGCCTGCAAGCAACCGTTGAGATGACGCGGCTGCGTGGAAGTGGGCAGACGCGCAGATGAGTGGGGCGACTCGGAATTACGAAAACGTCAGAAGGTAACAGCAGCGGCGACAAACAGCAGCGGCGACAGCAGGTGCGGCAATCAGCACTCATAACAAGAGTAGAGCAGAACCAGCAGCATGAGAGGCAACAAGCAGCAGCAGCGTGGGTGGCAGCAGAAGATGAGGAAGGAAGGAGGGGGGCTGGGGCGAGGAGGACAAGAGCAGCAGAAGCAACAACAACAGGTGTGTGGTGCTTCTCTTTCAAACCTAAGAACCGAGAAGAAACGAGGAGAGCATGGTCGTGAGATGATGATTGTGTGAGCTGAATGCACACTGGCTGTGCTCCATGCGTAGGCATGGGCGTGGGATTGTGTGTGCGCATGTGCATACGCCTGCCAAGGTCGCTGCAACATGTTCTCATCCCACTGCTATCATTGCTGCCCCCATGCCTCCCACCCCGCCCCAAATCTCCCTGCCTGCCCCAAATCTCCCTGCCTGCCCTAAATCTCCCTGCCTGCCCTAAATCTCCCTGCGTGCCCCAAATCTCCCTCCCTGCCCCAAATCTCCCTGCCTGCCCCCAATCTCCCTGACCGTCCCACACCTCCCTGCTCGTCCCACCCATACATCCCTGCCTTCTCATACCTCCGTTCCTGCCTCCATACCTCCCTGCCTGCCCCATACCTCTCCCTGCCTGCCCCATACCTCTCCCTGCCTGCCCCATACCTCTCCCTGCCTGCCCCATACCTCTCCCTGCCTGCCCCATACCTCTCCCTGCCTGCCCCATACCTCTCCCTGCCTGCCCCATACCTCTCCCTGCCTGCCCCATACCTCTCCCTGCCTGCCCCATACCTCTCGCTGCCTGCCCCATACCTCTCGCTGCCTGCCCCATACCTCTCCCTGCCTGCCCCATACCTCTCCTGCCTGCCCATACTCTCCCTGCCTGCCCCATACCTCTCCCTGCCTGCCCCATACCTCTCCCTGCCTGCCCCATACCTCTCCCTGCCTGCCCCATACCTCTCCCTGCCTGCCCCATACCTCTCCCTGCCTGCCCCATACTTCCAAGTGGTTGCTTAGCCGCTCTGCTGGTTGTGTGTGCTCTGCTGCATTCCCCCATTGCCCCCTCGTGATTTGCTGTTTTGGTCTCCTGTGCCAGCCCGTTCAACTGCCTCCTTTCCTTTCCTGGCCTCTCTTACCTCCTCTTGACCAGGGGTAATGTCCCCTCCCTAGTGCAGCTCCCAGGCATACCAACAATCACTGCTCCACCCATCCGCCTCCGTCTCCTCCTCCTCCTCCTCCTCCTCCTCCTCCTCCTCCTCCTCCTCCTCCTCCTCCTCCCTCCTCCTCCTCCTCCTCCTCCACCTCCTTCTTCTTCTCCTCCTCCTCCTCCTCCTCTTCGCCTCCACCCGTCGGACCCCATGCCATTGCCACGCATCATGTCGAGCCACACTCCTCCGCTCGCTCGCATGCTGCTGCCACCGCTGTGGCGGCACCATCGCTGGCAGCGGCAGTGCCGTGCCGCAGGCCGCTCCGCCCGTGCGTGGCGCCAGCGTCGCGCTGAACCTGCCCACCCGCAGCCTGTCGCTCGGAGGCGGCAAGTACACGCTGGCTTTAAGTGGCGATCTTGCGAGGTTTACGAGCAATGGCAGCGAGTGCCAAGAAGGGGTTCCGCATGCGGGCAATGACGGTGCTGCTGAGCGGAGAGATTGTGGATGATGCGGGGGCGAAGATGACGCCCACGGGTCTTGATGTGGACGGGGCGTACACTGCAGGGGACCTGAGAGGGTGGCCCAACGGGACCGTTGTTGGCAGCAATGGTGTGGTGCTGTATGCTGGAGCGCCACTCACTCTTACGTCTGAGGGCACCATTGCTCTTGCTACTCCTTCCATTCCCACTGCTGCTGCCGCTGCTACCCCTGCTGCTGCTACCCCTGCTGCTGCCACCCCTGCTGCTACCACTCCTGCTGCTGCCACCCCTGCCACTGCTACTCCTGCTGGTGCCTCTGCCCCACCCCCTCCCAAGGCTGCTGGTGAGTGTGTCTCCTACACTTCTCGTAAGCTTCTCCTATGCTTCTCCTATGCTTCTCCTATGCTTCTCCTATGCTTCTCCTATGCTTCTCCTATGCTTCTCCTATGCTTCCTGTTTGCCTTCCTGTTTGCCCTCCTGTTTGGTACATCGCTTTGTGATTCCGCTGCACATTTCCACATTCCTTGATTCCCAAATCTCAAGTGGGCTGTTCCAACCTGATTCTGTTTCCCCAGTTGTTCCTCCTCGCAATGGCAGGTTCACTTTCTTCACCGGCCGCTGCTCTCACTGCTCTCATCACTCTTGCCCTCGCCCCACTCATGCTCATGTAGCAACGCGGCTCTATGTAAGGCCAGGCGTGGGCACAAGGGGGCTGTGGTAATGGTTTAGTGTTACCGTGGAGTGGAGGCATGCGGTGTTCATGTGGTGGTGGGGGTGGAGGGGGTGGTGCTGCTTGTTCTTGTTGGATTGCCTTGCCTGTGCATGTCTCTGGATGGATTGGTTGGTTGGCGAAAGGAAGTACCGTAATTGAACCAGCCTTGAAGTAACGGCTATGCTGTGGTATAAGTACCAGTAATAAAACTTGTGATTCGCAACCTTGCAGTAACGGCTTGTACTGGTACCAACATTGCTTCAAGCATTCAGCAAAATGCCTGTTTGGCCTGGTCAACTAGAAAGAACATACCGTACGGTCAAGGAGATTGCCCTCAATGTGCAATCTCCATGACCAAACGAGCCAATCAATCTCTTTGACTGGATTACCCTAGAAGGCCCTCAAAGTGAACAATCAAGATTATCACGGTACATGAACCATGCCTTCCATTCCACACATTAAAGAATCTTCAAGTCAGTCCACCCAACCAAAGCCAACAATAAATATGCCGGGTCAAAGCTACAGCAACAAGAGCCTCCTTCATCACATGAACCACCTCCCCGCGGCGTATTTCGATTGGTTGTTGGTGGCCGTCTTATCCAGAAAGGGTCCGACGAACCAATGGCGTGCGTCGACAAACCACCAGACGAGGAAGAAGGAAACTACCACGAAGATTCCGACACACGCGTAGTTGAAGTTGCTTGCGGTGATGGGGAAGACCATTGGTAGCATAAAGATGCTGACTGTTTCAAGGACAAAGAGAATGGCTCCAATGTTGATCAGTTTCCTGCACTCCAATAGGCAGAGGGTGAGTGAGAGATAGAGAGAGGAGGGGAGGGGTGGAGGTGAATGAGTAGTGCCTTCTGCAAGGGTTAGAGAAGAGGAGAGAGACCATGGTTTAGGGAGGAGGGGTGAATGAGCAGCGCCGTCTGCAAGGGTTAGAGAAAAAGACAGAGATCAACTCTTATGCCCCATGCACACACTCGTACCAGGCTCGCACAGACCGAGGCAGAGCATTGCAGCAAGGCAAGGCAAGTCTTGAAAGGTCTCAAGAAACCCACATGAGGTATACATACGAGTTTCGAGACATGTCAAAAGATGTTCGCACCAGGAGCAAACCGACTGAGAGAGTGAGCACTGCTGCACCAAACCAAGCCATGCCATGCCATGCTGTGCTTTCTAACTCACCTGCCCCACGCACCCTCTCCCGCCCTCACCTGCCCCAGACGCCGACGTATTTAGAGAGGTAGAACGGGCCCGGTTCAAAGTCCTCCTCCCTTTGAATGAGCCGAAAGAAGATGGGGACAGCATAGCCGCCCACCCAGGCGACGGTGGCGAGGGAGGTGATGGCGGAGAAGAGGAAAGAGTCCTTGAGGAGCGGCAGGGAGAAGAGGATGGCGACGCCACAGCAGAGCCACACGGAGTAGATGGGCGTCTTGTCTCGGTTCACCCGCCGCCAGATGAACGCGAATGGCAGGCCCTTGTCTCGCGATATGGCGTAGGCCTGGGGGGATGGGGTGGGCGGGGGAGGGGTGCAGGGGGTGCAGGGCGGAGCGGAGGGGGGGAGGGGATGAATAGAAGGTGGGGAAAAGGAGGGAATGTGTAAAGGGGAGTAGCCAGGGGATTAGTGAGGAGGAAGAGGGCAGAGTCCTCGAGGAGGGGCAGGGAGAAGAGGATGGGTGAAAAGGATGAAGGAGCAAGCACAGGCAGGGGCGGGTGAGCAAGCACAGGCAGGGGCGGGTGAGCAAGCACAGGCAGGGGCGGGTGAGCAAAGCAAACACATGGACGGATGGGAGTGACTGACTGACCGCTCCGAGGGCTCCAAGCCAAGAAGGCCTCCTTGCTGAATTCAGATTTGAGAATTCTCAAAAGCAACTCGGGCTGTGCGTGCAAGCAGAGGGCGGAGGGAACAGTGACTGACCGCGCGGGAGGCGCCAAGAATGCCGGCGAAGACGCCAAAGAGGAAGGCGATGTAGATGAGTGAGAGCACCACCACCGCCCCTGTGCCGCTGCCGAAGCTGTTGCAGGAGACAGGCATAAAAGGGGACAGCAACACACGGTAGCACGAGGGGGGGTGCATGGGAGGATGGAAGAGGAAGGCGATGTAGATGAGCGAGAGCACCACCACCGCCCCTGTGCCGCTGCCAAACCTGTGGGGGGAGGAAGAGGAGGGCAATGCAGATGCGTGAGAGCACTGCCACTGCCCAGCTGGTGGGGAACATAACCCCTGCACAGCTGTCAAAAGTGTGGTGGGAAAGGGGTTAGGGTGATAAGGGGAAAGAGAGGTGAACATGGGGGTTTGGAAGAGGAAAGCGACGTGGATGAGCGAAAGCACGACTTTTGAGGCGCCTCAAAAGACGATGAGAGTGGATGAGCAAAAGCACGACCACCACCACCCCTGTGTCGTTGCCAAGACTGTGCGGGGAGGGGGGGGAGGATGGGGTGGGCGTGGTTGAGGTGAGAATGAGGAGGATATGAGTGAATACAGGAAAGGTGGGATATGACAACACATAGGGGGAAGGGGGAAGGGGGAAGCCATATACCAAGCCAATCACTAAGCAACTCCCGAACCTCTTATGGAGGCAGTTCTTGAGACACCCACCACGCCGCGAAGGCCTCCCGTATGATGGTAGCCAGGATCTGCTGCCAGCCCGTCATGCTGTCCCTGCTGGTGAGATTGCCACCGCTCTAAACACCCAAGTACCCTTGGTGAAGCCCACGGCAGGTTGCTTGCACGCCAGCAGCAGCCGAACCACTTCCCCAGCCACTTACCGAGCCACAAAGGCCTCCCAGATGGTAGTCAGTAACCGACTGATGAGCCGATCTGATCTGCTGCCCGCCCGTAACGCTATCCGTACTGGTGGGATTCTCTTCGTCCTGAATGCTAAAAGTGAAGGCCACGAGCAGCCCCCGGGCGAGCCACTTACCGAGGCACCTACCGAGCTGCCCACCGAACCACGTACCGAGCGAAAAAGGCCTCCCAGATGATGGTAACCAGGATCTGATTGCCGGCCGTAACGCTGTCCGGGCTGGTGAGGTTGTCGTCGTTCTGAATGCAGAAGGTGAAGGCGACGAGCAGCCCCCACGCGAGCAGGCTGACCGCGGACAGGCAGAGCACCATGCTGGCTGGGGACGCGCGATCGGAGCGCTTGGTCTCCTCTGCCATGTGGGCCACTGTGTCGTATGCGTAGAGGGAGTACTGCGATAGCTGCATCGCTGCTATGAAGGCGTACGCCTGTAAGAGAAGAATAGGGTGCGGTGAAGAGAGGTGAAGAGAGGTGGGTCTCAGGTGGAGAGCGCTTGGTCTCCTCTGCCATGTGGGCCACTGTGTTGTATGCGTAGAGGGAGTACTCGGATAGCTGCATCGCTGCTATGAAGGCGTACGCCTGGGCAGGGTCCAGAGGGGAAGGGAGGGAAGGTGAGAGAGGGAATAGATGAAGTTGCATGTGGGTGGTGGCGGGTGCGTGTCTCTGCCATGCTGGCTGGCAGAGAACGTGTGGTTAGAGCTCTTGATTTCTTCTGCTATGTGGGCGGCGGTGTTGTATGCGTAGAGGGAGTACCGGGACAGCTGCATGGCTGCTATGAAGGCGTAGGCCCGGGGGGGGATTGGAAGGGGGATGTGCAGCAATGGGTATCAAAGTGAGAGGAGGGGCACGCAGGTGAGAGGCGTTTTTGAGGCGCCTCGAAACTTGCCTAGGAGGTGGGGATGGGGAGGGAGGCACGGATTGGCATCACAAGTCAGAGGAGGGGCACACACTTGTGTGACACTTTGAGCAACATCAGTCCAGGGCCTGTCATGCTGGGTTTAGACGAAGAGATTCAGTGGTGCAGAGTGGTGCAAAGCGTGCGGCAATGACACATCCAGCTGCAACTTGTAGTGAGTAGAGATGAAAGCTGGTGTATAGCGCACGCACACAAGCCATAGATTGAGCGATGCAGAATAGTGCAGAGAGGTGTAGAGTGTTGTAGGGTGGTGCAGTGGTGGCGCAGTGGCAGTGTACTGGCATTGCAGTGCGGTACTCACCACAGTGGCCAGCAAAGACATGTCCGGCTGCAAGTGTTCTGGGTGAAGACCAAGGCTGGCGCCTGGCACACATAGGTCATTTATTCAACGGTGCAGAGCGGTGTACAGTGGTGCAGAGTGGTGGAGATGGGTACTCACCATAGTGGGCAGCAGAGACACGTCCAGCTGCACGTGGTGGTGAGTGAAGACGAAGGAGGCACTCTGGTGCACTGGCGCTACCGACGGCAGCAGAATCATGATGACTATGGCGAGACCCATCTAGGGACGAAGGGAGTGGTTGAGGGCAGAAGAAAGGGTGGGAACACAGGTAGAGGGAGGTTGGCTTGGCAGCAGCAGGGGAATGGGATGGGATGACTGGCAGTAGCGAGGGGAGCAGAATCAGCTGCTCAAAGGGGAAACCCATGTGGAAGGGGAAACCCGTCTGGGGAGTAAGGGGGGGAGAGTAGCATGAGCCCAGGAAGGAAGGGGGATGGAGAATGATGGAAGAGAGGATGGGATGACTGGCGCAGCGCACAGGTGCTAGTGCTACTGCGGTGCAGCAGAATCCTGGAGACTATGGCGGTTCCCATTTGGGGAGGGGGAGAGTGGTAAGTGGGAGAGGGGAGAGTGGAAGCAGGGGAATGCGGTGAGCGGCGGTATCAAGGGCAGCAGAAGAATCATGGTGTGGTGACAAAGGCGAGTCCCATCTGGGGGTGGAGCATGCGAGAGAAACATAGAGAGAAACTTATAAGTGTACCTGACCTGACCTGATAAACAGCACTGCTGATTACGACCACACGACCGATGCACTCGATTGACAAGGAGTTGACGATGCCGCAGAGGAGAGCACGTGAGTAGAGGGGGGGGGGGGGGGGGGAGGGGGGGAGGAGGAGTGGTGCTGCTGAGCGGCTACAGTGAAGGGGATGCTGCTAAAGTGATGGCAACCCACCTGGTAATCATCAGCGCTCATCACGGCCACACGGCCGATGAACTTAATTGAGGAGTTGAGAGGAGGAGAGGGAAGTGTGGGAGGGGGGTGAGCAGGGGAGTGCGCGCAAGTGGGAAGGGAGGCTGACCTGACAAACAGCGCTCATCACGGCCAGACGGCCGATGAACTTGATGGGGAAGGAGTTGAGTTGAGGAGTCGGAGTGTTTGTGAGCGGGCGGGCGGGCGGGAGGCATGCATAGAGCAGGGGAGGGTTTCGGGGAGCTACTTACAAAGAATTGCTGCCACAGTAGAGACAGGCAGATTACCTGATAGACGGCACTGACGACGGCAAGGCGGCCAATGAACTTGATGGAGAAGGAGTTGAGAATGCCGCAGAGGACAATGGCGCCCACTGTGATGGCGAATGACTCGTAGTTGTTCAGCAGGTAGCCTCCCCCATTCGCCCCTCCTGGTGATGGGAAGGAGGGGGGGGGAGAGAGTGGAAGGGGAGGAGAAGGAGACGCGTGAGAGGAGAATGGTACCCACTGTGATGGCGCCCACTGTGATGGCAAACGACTGGTAGTTGTTCAGCAGGTAGCCCCCGCCGTTGGTCCCTCCTGGTGATGTGAGAGAGAGAAGAGAATGGAGAGAGCGTGAGGAGAGGGAGGCGGAGAGGGAGAGGGAGAGGGAGAGGGAGAGGGAAAGGGAGAGGGAGAGGGAGAGGGAGAGGGAGAGGGAGAGGGAAAGGGAGAGGGAGAGGGAGAGGGACGGGTGGGGGAGTGGGACGAGGAGGAGGGGCAAGGCAGAGGGGAAGGCGAAGCTGAGAACACTGGCACCAGCTGTGATGGCTAAGGCTGGCTGGCTGTTGGTTAACAGTGGCCCTGCCATTTGACTGTCCTCTCTTGGCTCCGAGAAAGATAGGTGCAGAAGGATACGGGAGAATCCACTCCACTCCCGAATGCTCTCTTGTCTGTCCCTGAGCTACTTTGCTGGGCGATCTTTGAGGAGCCTCAAGACGGACAGAGGAAAATGCTTCATAATGCTCTCTTGTAACGAGGTGACTTTTGAGTCGACTCAAAATGACTGTAGCGGAGAATGCCTCGTTGTGCTCTCTTGTCTGTCAAGATACAACAACTGTCGAGGGGACTCAAACCTCACCTCGAAACGGGGTGGGGTGATACACCTCAATACGCTCGCTCATTGAGGTCACAATACACCGTGCTCGGCACCTCAATACGCTCACTCATAGTGCTCTCTGGCCAGTCCGAGTAACTGTAGGATAATATATCAAACAATTCATTCCACCCGGCAATCTTCACGGTTCTTCTCAAGATAGGATAGGATGATGTATCGGGATGGGATAGAACAGGATAATGTACACACCATGCATGCATGCAGCCGGATGGGATGGAAGTGCCTGTGGCGACCAGCACGGTGTACTGTAGCATGATCACCCCGCTGTACGAGACGCCGCTTGGTTCAAAGCCCCACTGTATGTTGGCCTGGTCTAACCCGAAGCCCTAGACAGATGGCAGTACCTATGGCGACCAGCACGGTGTACTGTAGCATGATCACGCCGCCGTACGAGACGCCGCTTGGTTCAAAGCCCCGCTGTATGTTGGCCTGGTCTAACCCAAAGCCCCAGACAGATGGCAGTACCTGTGGCGACCAGCACGGTGTACTGTAGCATGATCACCCCGCCGTACGAGACGCCGCCCAGCCCCACAGAAAGGCCGAGAAACTCAAGCCAGCCCTGCAGAAGGGGCGGGGGGAAACCCGGGTTGGGATGAGATGATGTGGAGAGAGGGGTTGGGATGAGATGATGTGGAGAGAGGGGTTGGGATGAGATGATGTGGAGAGAGGGGTTGGGATGAGATGATGTGGAGAGAGGGGTTTGGATGAGATGATGTGGAGAGAGGGGTTGGGATGAGATGATGTGGAGAGAGGGGTTTGGATGAGATGATGTGGAGAGAGGGGTTGGGATGAGATGATGTGGAGAGAGGGGTTTGGATGGGATGATGTGGAGAGAGGGGTTTGGATGAGGCGCGGGGGCAGACGGGCTGGGATGAGATGTGGGTGGGGACGGGTCGAGTTCATGTTTGAGAATTACTAAAACAATAAAAGTAACCAGTACCATCGCACCCCACTCAAACGCACCCCCCCCCATGGCCCCCCCAAGGCCCCCCTAAGGCCCCCCTACCCCCCAACTCTCCTCACAGAACCTCACACAGCACCCCACCCCCCCCCCCCCCCCTCGCATCGCCCCTCACACAGCCCCCCTCACACAGCCTGGCCGGGCCAGAACTTACATGCATGCCCTGGTTTCTTATTGTCTGTCCCTGTCCCTGCTGGCCTCTGTCTCTCTCTAATAATTGACTTCCATTTCGGTTTCTGCCTGTCCCTGTCCCTCTCCCTGCTTCTGTCCCTGTCTCTGTTTCTCTTCCTGTTTTGGTTTCACATCCCGAGCCTCCGCTCGAGGTCTGGCCTGACCTCCCCGGGTCGCCCCGGACCTCTCCAGGCCTGGCCAGGGCACGGCCATACCGGCTCATATAGCACGCCAAACAGGCACGAGTACCTACCTAAGTTTGGAATCCATTTGTCAATCCTAGAGTATGTATTTACTATCCTACTTGTTCATTGTGTCTTCACAGCCGAGAGAGTCAAGATGGCGCCCCGCAAGGGAGAACCCCACCTGCCAAAGGTGGTGTGGGGTGGGGTGGGGTGGGGTGGGGAGGAGGGACGGATGGGGGGATGGCGGGTGTGAGGGGATGGTGTGTGGCGGGTTCTGAAGCTTGGCAGATGTGGCGAGTGGTGGGGAGGAGAGGAGGTGAACACAGGGGAGGAGAGTTGAGCAGAGGGGAGGAGAGAAGGTGAACGGAGGGGAGAAGAGGAGTTGAACGGAGGGGATGAGAGGAGGTGAACGGAGGGGAGGAGAGGAGGTGAATGGAGGGGAGGAGAGGAGTTGAACGGAGGGGAGGAGAGGAGTTGAACGGAGAAGAGGAGAGGAGGTGAACAGAGGGGAGGAGAGGAGTTGAACGGAGGGGAGGAGAGGAGGTGAACGGAGGGGAGGAGAGGAGTTGAACGGAGGGGAGGAGAGGAGTTGAACGGAGGGGAGGAGAGGAGGTGAACAGAGGGGAGGAGAGGAGTTGAACGGAGGGGAGGAGAGGAGGTGAACGGAGGGGAGGAGAGGAGTTGAACGGAGGGGAGGAGAGGAGGTGAACGGAGGGGAGGAGAGGAGTTGAACGGAAGGGAGGAGAGGAGTTGAACGGAGGGGAGGAGAGGAGGTGAACGGAGGGGAGGAGAGGAGTTGAACGGAGGGGAGGAGAGGAGTTGAACGGAGGGGAGGAGAGCAGTTGAACGGAGAGGAGGAGAGGAGGTGAACGGAGGGGAGGAGAGGAGGTGAACGGAGGGGAGGAGAGGAGTTGAACGGAGGGGAGGAGATGAGTTGATCGGAGGGGAGGAGAGGAGGTGAACGGAGGGGAGGAGAGGAGTTGAACGGAGGGGAGGAGAGGAGGTGAACGGAGGGGAGGAGAGGAGTTGAACGGAGGGGAGGAGATGAGTTGATCGGAGGGGAGGAGAGGAGGTGAACGGAGGGGAGGAGACGAGTTGAACGGAGGGGAGGAGAGGAGGTGAACGGAGGGGAGGAGAGGAGTTGAACGGAGGGGAGGAGAGGAGGTGAACGGAGGGGAGGAGAGGAGTTGAACGGAGGGGAGGAGAGCAGTTGAACGGAGAGGAGGAGAGGAGGTGAACGGAGGGGAGGAGAGGAGGTGAACGGAGGGGAGGAGAGGAGTTGAACGGAGGGGAGGAGAGGAGGTGAACGGAGGGGAGGAGAGGAGGTGAACGGAGGGGAGGAGAGGAGGTGAACGGAGGGGAGGAGAGGAGTTGAACGGAAGGGAGGAGAGGAGGTGAACAAATGGGAGAAGAGGAGTTGAACGGAGGGGAGGAGAGGAGTTGAACGGAGGGGAGGAGAGGAGTTGAACGGAGGGGAGGAGAGGAGGTGAACGGAGGGGAGGAGAGGAGGTGAACGGAGGGGAGGAGAGGAGGTGAACGGAGGGGAGGAGAGGAGTTGAACGGAGGGGAGGAGAGGAGGTGAACAAATGGGAGGAGAGGAGTTGAACGGAGGGGAGGAGAGGAGTTGAACGGAGGGGAGGAGAGGAGTTGAACGGAGGGGAGGAGAGGAGGTGAACCGAGGGGAGGAGAGGAGTTGAATGGAGGGGAGGAGAGGAGTTGAACGGAGGGGAGGAGAGCAGTTGAACGGAGAGGAGGAGAGGAGGTGAACGGAGGGGAGGAGAGGAGGTGAACGGAGGGGAGGAGAGGAGTTGAACGGAGGGGAGGAGATGAGTTGATCGGA